AATGCAACATGCAGCAAGTATCCAGTTTCTGTGCATATATAACAGACCCCTGGAAAACATTCAGCAAGCCCTTCAGAAGTTAAAACCAGGTACCAGTCTAATGCTTATAAAGCAAGTCTCTTGGAAGAAAAGCCCACATTCTTTGATCCACCACAGCATCTTCCTGTTGGATCTTCTTGGTTACTTTCTGCTATTAATCAGTATAAGACATTCCACATGGTACCAAGTAACCAAGTAACGACATTAAAGTGCCCCACCCTAGCCTAGATAGCTGCACACCATGTAAAACTACTCCCATATCATTCTGGAAGAGCTTTTAGAACAAGCACATCACTCTCTTGGAAATGGTTACATTTTGAAAATACTTACCTGTAGTGTATTCAATTTTAAAAGCCAGTTCACTGTAAGTTCTTTTTTTTTTTTTCAGTTCACTATAAGTTCTTAGGAAGAGTTATTTGCTCTTTCTGTGGTAGATTAAATGCTAAGAAAAGCCATTTAGATATTACTTTCATTATCTGTGTGCTAACTTCGTGGAGCCTTCCTATAAATACACTCTATTTGAACTTAGAATTACTTGTGGATTTTGCACCAGCACAGATTTTGAAGAATTTTGGCCCAGTCCAGTGTCTTGGCTTAACAAGGAAATTAGAAGTTGTAAAGATTCTTTGATGGCGATTAAAGCCTAGTTACATTGTTATTGCTTTGATTTGGCCGCTGGAATGGCAGCTGTGGTAAAGCCAGCTGTCTTGCTTGAAGGTGAAGAGCGCTCTGCTGCCATATACCGGTACCATTCAGCTCCCCTGCAGAGCCTCCCAGGAGGAGCAGGTTCTTCTGCTTTGCTACATTTGAATTTATAGTCTTTCATGTTAAAAGCAGTAGATTTGAAAATACAAATAATATCAAGGGTTTTTTAGAGTAAAATATTATTGCTGAACTTTTCTTTTGTGTCCCACTACTAACCCTACAAATCAGTTTAAAAGGACAGATTTCCTCTTAGGGTATAAGATCTCTTTTTAAATCGCCGAATTGCTCCCTGTATTTCAAATTTTGACCTGAGCTGTCTGTTCCTATTCATTTCCAAGATGTCTGTGCTCCTGCATTTAAGTTTTTGCTTATTGATGAAATTACTGTAAAACTGAGTAAAAGCAATGGATAAAAATAAACAAGTATGAAAGTGTCAAGAGTGGGTAAGCAAGAAGTACTTTGCCCTTTAGGTTCTTGGTGGAGTTATAAATCATATGTTTTGCCCACACAGCACATGCTAATATTAAGCTGTTTTTAAAGTGATTGTGTTGCATCCCCATGGCTCTTCTGTGCTCTGTAGGGTATCATGTTGCTTTAATGTAATGAACCAAGCCCTCAGCCCCTAAATCTCCATGCTGGAAATGATTACATAAAACTGAATGGCTATGCCCAAAGTCTTACGAATCTTGAGAATTTCTTCTTCTTTGGGAGAAAAAAAATCCTACAAAGACTTTTCTTATATTTTGAGGGGAAAAGCCCTTCATTTATGACAAGTTTCTGTTGAAAATATCAGCCTACTTTAGGTTATATAGCTATCTGTTTGAAAAATAAGCATTATCTCTGCTGCAAGATCTGTATTTTAACTTTGTGCAGATGTGTGCTTAAAGAACATGATGTGCTTATTTGTTGCGTTTATGCTACTTTCTTACTTTATGTAAGATGGATGAAATTACATATTAAATAAAAACAGCAGCTCCAACAGCAGTCCTTAGCAAACTGCAAAAGCCTTCCAGAGACAGTGGAGTGAGATATGATTTTATTAACTCATTGACTTTGGAGAGAATTGTCTACTTAAAAGCTTGTGTATTTGTGGGATTTATTGTTAACTGTCTGATGTTTTTTGTTTGTTTGTTTGTTTTATTTTTTTTGGTACCAGGGATCGAACTCGGGTCCTTGCGCTTGTGCAGCACGCAGCGAAACCACTGAGCTAAATCCCTGGCCCTAACTGTCTAATGTTTAAAAGTAATCTCCCATTAAATTGTGTTGGTAAAATATTACCAAAAGTATTGTTTTCTATCTTCACCAAATATAACACATTAATTTTTACATGCCTTAAGTTGCACAGATACCTTGTGTGTGGCATGAAACTCCAGCTAGTGGGAATAGCTGCACGGCCCTGGGCAAGTAATCTAAACTCTCTGAAGCTCGATTTTCCTTTTCTGTGTAATATTATACCTATCTTTTAGGATTACTATCATGATTCAGTGAGAAAATCTTCCTAGCATGATTCCCAGCACGTATTTATTAGTACATGTTCACTTATAATCTGTGTTCCAAGCTTCTTAAAGTATGTTTTTATTTGGTACTTTTGAACTAGGAAGTACTTCATATTGAATATTATTGCTTTTCAATTCTAAAGTAAAAATTTGGAACATGTAGAATAAAGTTTTCTTAGGACATTTAAGGAGCATATGTCTATTGAGCAACTACTAAGCATAAAGCCTTTTTTCTTGCCCTATGCAGTTAGTATATTTGAAATCCAATAAGAAGCAGTCAGTCCCCATGCCCTCTGTGACTTTGTTAACTTTAAGAAAGTTTTCAAAATAAAAAAGCACTTAACTTTGTTCCATGGTTATTTAAAAATAAGGTTGATCAATACGAAGCATTAAGCTAGGAGCACAACTTGTTGATTTTTTACTGGTTTTAGTTACTAGTAAGAATGAAAATGATGTAAGAAGCACTCAGGGTAAACAGGCCAAGTTTTTTCTTCTGCAATCAATAGGAGTAGAATTCTATGTGTGAAAGTGACTTTTGTATCAGTTAGTTCCTTTCTTACACACACAAGCATGCACGCACACACACACACACACATACACACACACAGTCTTAAGACTCCTAGTGGCTTGCTGAGTGGGTGTTTTTGTCACAGTCTTCTAGGAAGTTTCTGCCACTTAGTCGCTTATGTTAATTGTGAAATGCTATTCAAGGTTATGTATTTACAGCCCATGAATACATTTTTTGGCTTTTTAACAGATGTTTATAAGCCAGAATCTTGAGGATTTCAAGGATACTCTGTTTAACCATTGCAGATCAATAAAGCCAAGACAGTGAATACCAGGGAAGCCTGGTCAGCAGGGCATGAATTATTTAAATGTTGTATAAGGAAGTTGGCTGTGGGCAGAGGTTGTCATGTGTCATCTTCCCTTTTAGTCACAGCTCCAACAGCTGTGCCCTGTCACCAGGGCCCTGGTGTGCTGCTGCCCGTCAGTCCTGACAAAAACCAGCTGGCTCTCTGCCTGCTGGGGAAGCTATGAACACACAGACACACGGAGACAATGCCCTGGTCTCTGGTTTAGATGGAAGCTCATTTCCAAACAAGGATACTAAGCATCAAAATATATTCTTTAGAGAAATAGTTGGATGCTGGAGAGTCTTTTTTTTTCTTACAAAACATATGGCTATGCAAATATAGGAGGATCACACATTTGAATCCCAGAGAGATGCCCTAGCTAAATGAGAAATGAGAAGGAGCTTTCTCCACTAGATACCAGAGTATCACTGAAGAGGCCTTTTCTGGCCACAAAGAGACTTGGAATCACAAGCATTCCTTTTGTGATGATCCAGCAACCTGCCAAATGGGATATATCCTAATTCTCATTAGACTAACCTCCAACAGTTTCCTTTTTCTCTTCTTGTATTCAAGAGACATCCTTAGAGGAAAGGATTTGAAGGCATTAGTATCACTATCTGTCCGATTACTGTGTTGACATTTTTAAAGTGCCATTAATCATAGGAAATGGAACTTAATGATCTAGAAAAATACCCAGCCAAGGAATGTCAAGAAAGTAAGGTACAGCCCAGTATTCACATGAAATTGAAGGGAAATGCATCTTAACCCTTTCCTTGTTTCTTTCTTAACTCATTTCTGAATGCCAAAACTTCATAACTGAGAGGCAGCTATGAAAGCAAGGGAACATAGCAAAAGGAAAAAAAAGTTATTAGTGTATGTTTGTAGATAATGATTACATGTATTGTGGGGAATTGGTACATGTACATAATACATCTCCTTTCTTTCTTTTTTTTAATCTCCTCTTCTTCCAACTCTTGGTCCTCTGCCCATTTGCAAAAGTTCTATTTTCATTATTGCAGAAGGAAAATTTTGAAGTTAGCTGTTTTTATTTTGCAAATATTGCAGCTATGTAATGTATAAAGTGTATAAAGATAATGTTCATCGTTAAGTAATATAATTGAGGCCTTGCTTCTATTTCGAAAGAAAGTTACTTTTTCTTTCAGATATCCCCCACCTCCCCGTTTTTTGTTATTTTTGTTTTTGGTACTGGAGATTGAACCTAAGGCTTCATGCTAAGCACATGCTCTACCACTGAGCTACACCCCCAGATCCCTTGCCATGTTTTTTTCCTACTGACTGAATATTCCATGTTCTTGATATAACTTGGTTTTTGTGAGACTTGTTGGGATTTGAGTTATTAGGCTGAAAGTGTGGTGCACAAGTGCCACTCCCATCATAATGCACAGAAGTAATGATATAACACATGGGTAGAGTACATCATTTCTCAGAAGTTGCCAGTGCCTGATGCATACTTTGTTGGATTTTTCTGTCATCAGTTAATTTTTTGACTGTTAGCTGGTTTAAATTTAAATGTTTTCCTAACTAAAATTTTAGGAAACGTGAGTAAATATAGATAACCTTATTAGAGGAAGGGAATGATGAGCATTACACTGCAAAATGCTCCTGGTGCTGACTCTGAGGCAGGTGGTTCATTTGTAAAATAGTACATGACTCTAAGTTAACTCCCTCTCCTCCCACTGCCTTGTTCCCCCCAGTAATTGCCTATTAGCGTGTGGCACACATAGTAGATTCTCAGTAAAGACTAATTGACTGACCATAATGATGTAGCAATCTGAGATGATTGATTTATAAATCTGAGATGAATGAATTTTAGGATGATCTATGTAAGGAGATTGGAAAAGAGGTAACGTTATTAATAAATGTTGGACTTTTCTCTCCATTGAAGATTTTTATCATTCATTGGAGGGACACTGTGTGAGATTGGAAAACCTGAAATGAAGCAAAAAATAAATTCATCTCTTGAGAAGGAAGGAATAGAGAAAGCTGCAGAAAGATTGACAACAACAGTACAAACCTTACAGATCGTCATAGATGGTCTCAGCCAACCTGAAAGCTTTGACTTTCGAACAGGTAAGTTGAACTTGAATTACATACAGTGTCTGATTTGCATAGCTAATATTACCTCTTGATTCTCCTACAACTCCATGCCATATGCAAGACAGATTCTCTCATTCTATATATGGTATAATTGAAGCTTAGTAATCTTCAGTGTCATTATAATTAGTGTTCAGAGCTAAAACTGGAAGCCAGGTCTCTGAACTCCTTCACTATTTATTTGCTGTTATACTATACTAAAATTCATCATCTATATACTGCTTATGCATGAAAGCAGCTATATTTTCGCGATTCCTTTGTAAGCTGTTTTTGTGTTCTAAGAACCAGGAGTCCAAGGTAAAGCATTCCATTCACATGCTAAAAAGTGAATCTTTTTTCTAAATTACAGCTATCCAAGTTTTTGGATTCTGTGTCAATGAGCACATTGAACAAATAAGATGATATCTTTCTGTTGATTTTCCTTCTAATTAAAAGTGCTCTCGGCTTGCAGCACAGGTAGAGGGTGAGAGTAGTATAATAGTTGTAGTTGTTGAGAGCAGTGACCCAGTGAAAGAGAATTAAGGTATCAAATAACCTACTTCCTAAGGAAGTTTGAGTAGGAACCCCTGAGATTTAAAAGAATCTGTACACTTGTCTCATGACCAGTTTTAATGATTCCATATTTAGAGCCTATCTCATTTCATTCTGTTAGGCTGTGCTGAAGTGGTTAGATATGCTTCCTTAAAAAAGTTTAAGGGAATTTAACCACCCAGCAAGTTCATTGTACTATGTCTTCAACTAGTCTATAGATTTTGAGTTAAAAATAAAAGTGGGAAAAAATAAAACAGCCAGTAAGACCTATGGCAAAAATGTGACAGTGAAAGCATCCAGGTGGTCCTTCACACAAAATGGCTGTTTCAGCATCTCCTTTTGGAAGTCTTTTGTGTGAATTTCAGGGATATATCTAGGAAGAATACTAAACAGAACAGTTTCCAAATAGGGTGAGATTTCGGGTGATATCCCTATGCAACTACATTAGAGGATTGACGAATAGATGTTAGAGGTACTGAATATTCTTGTCTACCTTTCTCTGTTATACTGTTGACTACTTCATTATCTAGTTAAACTGTAGACTCAGCTCAACACACAAATTATATGGTCAAGGTTACCAACCTCACTAAGAAGAGGGCCTTACCTGAGATGCCCTTTGTTGAACAAAAACACAAATGGCACTGGACTCTGTACCAAGCTTTCCAGTTACCACAGTGTTTATCAGTGTGACAAGTGAAATTTCAAGTAGGTGTCTTTAAGCAAACTTTGGAACTAACCTTTGCCCTAGTGTAAGTCATAATTTTCAAGATATCTGAGACCCATCATTTTACTATTAAACATATCCCCAAGGGGGAAGGCAGGCAAGTTATGCTTTTGAGAGTGTAGATGGTATTTTAGATGTTTCTACATAAGGGTATGTTAATCTCTTCCTTCATTTTAAGAAAAGAAAGTATTTCTTTTCTTAATGCCTCATTCTTTCCTCATATCCTGTCTTCTGTTTTCTCAATGACATAATCGATTCCATTTTTATTAACACTTGGGTTGCAAGTGAGTTTCCAGAATTGAGCAGTTCCTCAGAAGCATTCTGGTGACAGTGGACAGAATACACAGCCATGGTTATCAAAGTGTTCAAGTTTCCACCGTGCATGGAGGATTTCCTGATTTCTCAGTGGCCTAAACTGTCTTCAGGAACATGTGAAGTAGTTTCTGGCTCTGATTTTCCATGCAAAATTAAACTAAGCAGCTGATCAGAACCCCTTGGGGAATCTGCAGCAGCTGGACCTCTGCAAGAAAAAGAGGGGGAAAAAAGTTGCCAAGCATAAAAACAATGCCTTATAGGGCCTCAGAGACCATCCTACCTCTGGCCCTGATCAACGACTTAATTTCACTGTGCTTTGACACAGTCCTTGCCCAGTGTAGTATTATGTTACAGTAGGTTTCTTGCTTTTGGAATTCACGACTTCAGCATCAGGTGAAATTCTACAGAATCAATTCCAATTTTAGCATATTCTTTTTTTAGGAAGAAAGTGAGAGTTAGGGTTTAAAGGAAGTTTTGTTTTGTTTTATAGGAAAGAGTTTAGTATTTTCAAAGATCCTGGTTTTAGTATACATACTTGGACTGGGGGAGGGGAGAAAAGAGGTGGCCAGTTGTTAATACAAATGTAAAGGATAGCTCTAACAAGTAATCAGGATAAAGCCAACAGCTGTGGAGGAAAAGGAAATGGGCTGGGTGGCGGGGGGAAAATGAGGTCTTAGTAAAAAGAGATCCAAGCATAGAATGTGTTCTTTGTTATCAGAGTCAACACTCAGTAATCCTAGGAAAGGGGGCCAAGAAGACTGTGGATAAATGAAGGCCACAGATAATTCACAAGCCCCATTAAAACTGTTAGTTCTCACTACCTCATGAAACGTTTGTTGTTTTGTTTTTAACTAGAGTCATAATGACTCCTTGGCATGCTTTATGCCCACCTTCTAGGGGACAGTGTCAGTGAGCAGAGAGTTGTGTAGGGGGATGAGCAAGGGAAGGAGCTGTAAGGAACTTGAGAACAAAGTCCGAAGATCATCTTTGTGTCTCTGGGACCCAGCAGAGTGCCTCCCCAGGAGGTAATGATAGGAATTTATAAATGTTTGAAGCATTGAATTAAAAGAAAAGAAGGAAGGTTAGATTCTAGCTGCTCTGGGTTTCTGAGCCACAGATAATCAAGAATCCATGCATTTTGTTTGGATAAATATATTTGAAATGGACTTCTCCTGGTTTGCCAGCCACAGGTGCTGAGGGCAGCGGTGACTTGAGCTGTTGGGACCCACAGGGGGCAACAGGCCCCACAGTTCTTTCCTGCATGGGCAGAGCAGCTTACAGCAGCAAACACTTAGGACAGGCTCCAGGCCACACACCGAGCACGCGACTGCTCGCGCTGCCAGGCCGCCCAGCACTCGGTGGCCACTGAGTGTGGCACCACAGACCCCATGCCAGCCTCAGGGCAGCCTGGGGTGCACAGGACACAGGCCTCCCCTCCTACCCACCCCTCTCCCGGCCAGGCACTTGTTACAGTGCAGCCCACACCTTGGGGTCCTAGGCCTGGGATGGCAGCCCGGTGGCAGCAGAGGGCTCAGGCCCTGCACTCAGCTTGTGCACCAGCGGTGCCTGGCGGGTGTATGGGCTGCCACAGACATGTGTGTGCGTGTGCACTCGCTGCCCGGGAGGACCTGAATAAAGAGCTGGCCGCAGCACTCATGCTACAAAAAAAAAAAATTTCCAGTGTTGTGGGAACAAAATCCACATTTGACCAAAAGTCAATGTACTTTCTACCACCTTTAACTTAAGAATCCAGGTACTGAAAATAAAACTACTCTCCTGTCTCCATGGGTCTCAACTTCTCAGTGTTTGTGATTTAGCCTTGTATATTCATTGATCAAAGATACATTCTCGTCATCTGTCATTCTTTATCCTCTCAGATAGTACTAATGTTCGTGTTATTGAAATAGAGATTGAGAAGAAAGTGTTGAATTTTCTTGAGTTATTTCCACTGTATGAGTGCTATTTCTTGTAGGACCCATTTTCTCTGAAGGCAGGCCTGTGTCTCCAGCTTCTTCTATATTCCCCTCAAACCTTAATATTGGTCTGCACATATAATCCACACAATAAATGCTAATCCACTAAGTTCTGTTGTGTCTACAAAATACAGTGCCTTATTAGTTACACTGACTTCCTCTTTGCTTACAGATTTTGATAAACCTGATTTCAAGAGAAGCATAGTATGCCTGGAAGATCTGCAGGTTGGCATGATTCTGACAGGCAAAGTTGAGAATGCCACTCTGTTTGGGATTTTTGTGGATATAGGAGTGGGACGATCAGGGCTGATTCCCATACGAAATGTAACAGAAGCAAAACTTTCTAAAACAAAGAAGAGAAGGAGTCTTGGACTGGGCCCCGGAGAAAGAGTGGAAGTCCAGGTCCTCAACATTGACATCCCCCGATCCAGGATTACTCTGGACCTTATTCGAGTGTTGTGAGTGTTCTGCTGAAGGCCAGACACTGATTTTATTTCCCTATTTCTTTTGTTTGTTTGTTTGTTTGGTACCGGGGATCGAACTTGGGTCCTTGAGCTTGCAAAGCAGGCAGCAGAACCACTGAGCTAAATCCTCGGCCCTTTATTTCCCTATTTCTACAGATTGACAAGCATAAGTAAGATATTCCTGAATTTTAGGTAGCATATGAGAAAGAAATCGCTTAATATCAAAAGTATTTTCTGAACATTTTCCTTCTTCTTCTCTTATGAGTAAATAGAAAACCAAATGTTTGGTTTCTTTTCCCTTTAAAGAAAATAACTGGTAGACATCCTTATGTGGCATTTTTGTAGTAAGTTTTCTGATCAAAACTTTATTTTTTATTTTTTGTAATTCATCATTGACTACATTTTTTACAACAAATTGCCTCAGTTCTGCTTGCCAGCATCTGCCTTGTTGGACTTATATGGGATTGTCTTCTTGATTTGAATTATACAATGTTTGCTGACACAGTAGAGATGACAGTACTTCCATTTAATAGATTTTTTTGTTATTATCAGGCCTTTTGGCCATGATACATTATTTTTGCAATCTTTGTTTTCCCTTGCCACGCAAACAAAAAATACACTAGTGAAACAGATGTGTTTGTAGCTGTCCAATGAATGGTTCAGAACATTACTCTGAAATATATATGTATTGATCTCTGCAATAAAGTTTTGTGGCTAGTGACTTGCTATGTTGATTCAGTGAATGACCCAGAAGTCAGTCTTGATTAAAGAAGATATGGTTCACGGAAGTATTCCTTTGGGGAAGAAGGAAGCCTCTGAAAATCTGAAGAGTGACTTTATTTGACTTAGCTTGTCATAGAAGGATATATTACTTCTTAACCATCAGGATTAACTTCAAATGAGGATTAAAAATGACCACCCTGAAGATTGAATATAGGTCTTTTTTGCCTGAGAAAGGGCAAGAAAAACAAGTAGATAAAGGAAGTGACTCTTAACTCTGTTTATTTAGTAGAGATGGTATTAGTGTGACTATTTAGTGTCAAAGGGATGTGAAGCTCCTACTGGACTGGTAGCTTATCCTGACTTCTGGTGCTGTTGTTGATTTGTCTAATGAAGTTATTTGCATGATTGAGTACTGCTTTTCTGGAAAATGGTAACTGAAGTGTCATCACTCCTATTTATTTGTCTGAGACAGTACTAGTAAAACCCATTGTCCTGGCATCTTTTTTAATAGTGCCTCTTTTTATCTTCCAAGTCTTCTATTTGGGGTCATATCCCCATCTGCTAATAGTAGTCACTTAAAAATAGTGACTGACTGTATGTCTCATGACAGTGCTACCTGGCAGTTTGCTATTCTCAAAAAATACAGGCTTACAGATTGTGTTTGTAGATCATTTTAATGAAGCAGGCTCCTTAAAAGTTGTGTAAGTCACATCCTGTTCAAGTCCCATTGTAATTCTGGCAATTTACTCTTTTTTTTTTTTTAAACAATTCACATTTTATTTAGATTGAAATAAACTGTACAAAATTTTCTTCACCAAAAATAACAGCAATTATTTTCTGTATTATTTCTAGATAAACCACAAAACATTCATTTTGTAGGTTTTCAGGTTTGCTTATAAATCAAGATGAGGCAGTAGATAAGAGTCATGGAAAAAGATAAGAAAACAGACAAGTCAGTTGCCTGTATAGATGGTCTCTGATTCTGCCTTGACGATGAAGCAGAAGTGTTCAACATTTACCTGCTAAGAAGTTTATGAAGATGTAGGTTCCACAAAGGAATGTAAACAGCAATAACCAGATGTGGAATAACAATGGCAAGCTCTTCTATTCAAGCTTAAACTGTAACCTCTTCTTTTAAGCTCATTTAATAAAGACAAACTCTACATTGAAATCTGGTAGGCTCATAAACTTCTCTTTAGTAATTCCCTTAACTGCCCATTAGGTTTTTAATAACATACTTAAAACTCCTACTAATCACAGGTCAATGATGTCCTTTACCATAACATTTTATAAGATGCATTTTCTCCCACATCACCTCAAAATTCATTTCTTCAAAAACTGACAACTCAATACTTGAAAGCGGATCCACAATGACAGCGTGTTGTCTAAAATGACTTAAAACAATTCCATAATGCCACCAGCAGAGGTCACACCAAAGAGAAGTGTGGCACTTACAATGCCATCTTCTGCCATTCTTTTTTTTTTTTTAGTATCGGAGATCGAACTCGGGACCTTGTGCTTGGGAGGCAGGCGGTGGAACCATGGAGAAGAACAGACAGGTCTCAGGTGCACGAGGATTCAGAGGGGCCATTTAAATATGGAGATTATCAATGGCTAATATATTCAATGACAGGCCTGTGGGCTAACATATTCAGTGATTAGGGGCCTACATACCCCTTATAGCTTTTCTTTCAAACAGCAAATATAAGAAAAAGCCCACTGTAAAAGTCTCTTAGGTATTTTCAACAGTTTCTGAATTATCTGTAGGAAGCTCTGATTTAGTTGTATATAGTTTGATATATGTGTCCACCATTAAATCCAGATCATGCTTTATATCAAAGTTTATGTTAAGCAAAGCCAAGTTACTTGACCTTTGGTCTGTCAAAGTATTCCTCAAGTATGCTTTGAGACGCTTTCGTCCATTTTCATAGCCCTCATTCTCAACTTTCATCACAGGAAGAATACACAGGACCTTCAGCAAGGCATACACATTAGGAGAAAACTTAATGTCAGGCAGATGCAGGGCTTCATAAATGGTAGATGGAAGCTCTGTGTCTTTCCCTCTGTGTTTCCATTTGATTCTCCAACAATGAAGTTCAGCTGAGAGTGTATCGGGATTGGGTAAGTCACTTCTGTACATGTCAGCATGATGTTCCTCTGATGTGTTGAATTTGAGCTGTCCCATGACTGAGAGTACCAGAGATAAGCACTTAAGAGCTTTGAGATGCTGTTCTGAGAATATATCTTTAAGTTCCTGAATAATGTGGTCTACTGTTGGGACACTCAGGGTTTCTTTATAGTAACTCTCAGAGGTTAATTGAGATTCCAGGTTACCTTGTCGAGCCCTACGAAACTTACCAGGGAGTTTCATTTGAATATCAAGTTTGGTTGCCAAATTTGTGGGTTCCTCAAACCAAAACTCATGATAAACTTCAATATTTTCCACCACTTCATTGAGTGAGTATAATACAGCAGTTAAACTATTGGCTGCAAAGAAAACATCAGAAGTTTGTCCCTGGAGATTTTTCCCAAAGGCCTTTGTAAAAGATAAGACATTTTTAAGAACAACAATGGTAACAATAAAATCAAAATCTGTTACTGCACTACAGAGTACAAATGCTCGGCCAGCTATACAGTTATTCCACCTAATATTTGTGTCACTATTTATACCATCTAAACATAAAACAAGTGCTTGCAGGAGGTCCACTAAAACTTCAAAAGCATCATGCCTGCCTGTCCGCTGAGAATGACATATTTCCTTAAGTTCTTTACCCCTTTCTTCACTGTTCTGGAAAAGAACTGAAATTACATTGTCAAGTTCTAAAAGTAGTTGTGGTGATCAATGGAAAAAAGAACAAACTTCCTCAGTTGTTCCCAATGCAACTGATAGCCCCACCATGGGCACTGATTTTGCCAACCACATGTTTAAGGCACAGGAAGAGCACAGTGTGTAGATAGCTTGGGCATATTTTTCTAGAAGTCTAGAAGCAACAACTTTCATTTTAGAAGAAAATCCACTGGACACAATATAAGCCTGGCCATGACAATACTCCATATTTAGTCCCCACTTCTCAGTTATTGTAGTGTGAAATTTCACAGCCAAAATTTCCGCATCAGCTTCACAAGGCAGGAAGCCCACAAACTCCTCTCTCAGGTTAATGGGATTCATCAGCAAACCTCACCAGGACAGGTAAGTGCTCCCCCCCCCCGCCGCCCCGCCCATGTTCACCACATTATCAGTGACATGGAAAAGAAGAGTGAATGTCTCACTTCCCTGAGGGTTTCTTCCCTAATACAGCTCTCACAGATCTCTAGCATCTGTTTCTGCTGTGTTTTTGAACAGAACAATGTTAACGGCTGTGGTCTCAGAGTGCTTTCTCAGAACTTCTTCACCAGAATTTATCCTGCACTCCAACAAAGCTTTGAAGTTATCAGGTGTAAAGAGAACTTGCAGGATTTCCTAGGTCTCATGCCCATCCAGAGGTATGTTTTGTTTTCCCATAAGAATCAAAATTTCAAATAGAGACTTTAAGTATTCTTTGTTTTCCTTCTCTTCAAGGGTTAAAGGTAAAATGTCTTCATCCTGTTCAGAATTTTCATCAATTTCTTTCTGTTTCAGTGTCCTGATTTCATCTTCACTCAGTTCTTTTATTCGTTTTCTGCGTCTTCTGTGTGCATTGTTCAAATGACTGGTGAGATCAAATATTGTTGGTATTGCATTGTCTCGAAGAACGGTCCTACAAGGACTCTCCCAATGACTTCACAAGTATCTGCTTCAATTAATTTTGAGAAATAAAATAACTCAATCATTCTTTAGTTTTCTGATGCCTCTGCAAAATGCATAGTTCTACAGATCATAGAGGTCTCGAAGTGTTTGGCACACAATCAGTCATGTTTATTTAGCTGATCAGGTGTTTTATCTTCTAAGTCTGCTCTCCTACAATTCTCCACCCACTTCTGGCATCTGGCCGGATCCCTTGGAAACCTGAAGAAGGCCAGGTGGGACTGCGTGCTCTTCCGCGTGCAGTTGGGGGCCGCGCAGAATTTCAGCATCATTGCCCGCCCGCCGGCCCAGTCCTCCCCTCCCCACCTCCTCAGGGCAGCCCGCCCACCCATCAGGCCGGGGAGGGGAGCCAGGCTGGCCAGCCTCTGGCAGTTTACTCTTGAACTGCTTTTTCTCTGTTTCTTACTTGTCTTCAGCTGACAATGAATCATGATGTTATAACTTCACATTCATCTTCCTACTTACTTTTCCCAATATTCTTCATGGTTCATAATTTGTAGGTCAGTGATGAGTGATCTGCCCCAATGTGATATAATCTTAACAAATGTTTTTGGGAAGGAGCTCTTCTTCCTAGGCACTTCAGACTCAGGAACCAGAGCATGTCACAGTGTAAAGTTTTATTGACTTGGTAACTAAGCTTTCTACCAATAATCCACAATGTGGCTTTGGGCTGGTATCTTTGCTTCTTTGGGTCTCCAATCCCAAATTTAAGATGAAGTTGATGATAATAAACTATCCCCCTAAATATTTATTGGTGAATTCTCATGTACCAGACATTGTGCTAGACACTGACCATACAATTGTGATAGAAAAATAGACTGCCCTTATGGAACTTAGTCTATTGAGGGAGAAAAAAAGAATCATTTAAGATATATAAAATATAAAATTACAGCCATCACAAGTGATACAACAGTGACAGTGTATTGATGAACTTAGAAAAGCCAGAAAATGTTTCGGTGAAGTTTGACTGAGATATGAAAGATGATGAGAAATTAACTAGAACAAATGTTCTGTTGACCTTAAGAAAAGCTGTTTTTCAGTAAACAATGGGAGTAAACCTTATTGAAGTGGATATAAGAGAGGACAGAAGAGTTAGGTTAGAAACAGTGACTATAAACAATTCTTTCAGGGTTTGGCCATAAAAGAAGAAAAATAACATGATAGCTGGAAGAGGGAAGTGGAGTCAAGGAAGGATTTTTATATTTTTTTAAGACAAAAGAGTGTACAAATGGAAACGATCTAGTAAGAGAAGACTTACTAGAATGATATCTTTGGATGAGATCAGATGGAATCTAGCACACAAGGAGTTGGTTTAAGATAGGAACATAAAGAGTTCATATTAACAGGAGAAAAAATTGAGTGTATAGGCACAGAGGTAGTGGGTAAATGTGGGACCTTTTTGAAGGACTCCTTGGATTCCTTCCATTTTTCTCATTGAAATGTGAAGGAATGTCATTGTATGAGACTGAGCATAGGAGAATTGAGAAAAAAGGAAAACACGAGAAAAGAATGAAAACGAAAAAGTCAGGAAAACTGAGTATGATTTCTCGGCTGTGTTTAATGTTCCATTTGAGGCCATTGATCATGACTTGACTGTAGGATCAGGCAGCTCAATTACATATTTTCCTCCAAACATATCAACTGTGTGGATACAGGCTCAGAGTAGGTGGAGGGATAATCTAATCAGACTTGCGAGTTTGCCAAATGAGTACAATAGAGAGAAGAGCAAGGAAGTTGAAGGCATATAGACAAATTATTGACTGAAATTTAAGCTTAGTATGAAGAAAAGTGGGAATGTAAGGGCAAAGTGAAGGGCAGTAGAAAATTGTAATATTAAGGAATTGTGGGTCCTGATGGAGTTGGAGGGATATTAGAGTGGGAATGAGGGAGAAAACAATGGGGAGACAAGGATGATTGTCAAATGTGACATGCATGGCCCTGATGCTAGAGAGTTTGCAGTTTCTGTTAATGACAGTATAGGGAATGATGATGGGATACATAGCAGAAGTAGAGGAAGAGGATAAGATCATAAGAGAAAGTCAAGAACAGACAATTCAGAAAGGGTGATCTATGTGAATAATTTTAGGCGACTTAGTAGCTTGGATCAGAATTTAGTGATAGAAATGATGACAAATAGAGGGATTCTGGATATAGTTGGAAGGTGAGGGTAGAGGCAAACAGGATTTACTGGCATAGGATGTAAGACAGGAGGCAAGAGGATTGTCATGAGTTCAAAGCCACCCTGAACTACGTAGCAAGATCCTGTCTCAAAAAAAAAAAAAAAAAAGTAAGACAGATATGAGTTTAGGATGACTCCAAGGTTTTTGGCCTGAGCAATCAAAGATGCAGGAGGAACAGTTTTGATGAAGAAGGTCATTTTGGACAAG